TCTATCTACAAAAAAAAAAAAAAAAAAAAAAAAAAAAGGAGGGGGAAAATTACCCAACTTATCACCAGGCCGAGCTGGCTTCTCCTCAAGCTGGTGCCAGTGCTGCCCTCAGCTCTGCAGAGTGTGTGTGGCAGTGCAAGGGCAGGGGCAGGGGTAACATCACTGCACAAGGCTTGCAGGATGGACTCTCTTTGTCCCCAGGGATGCCCGTGGCCATGAGAGGAGGGGACAGATGCACCCTTGCAGTGGAGACAAGCTGCAGCGCGGCTGAGACCCACAGGGCACCAGGACCCCAAGCGCTACGTGAATGCACTGGGATGGAGATGGGCTGGTGGCATCTGGGCCTGTGTCCTCCTCCCTGTGCTCATCATGACGTGTGGCTGCTCAGCACGGCCCTGCTGGGGGACAGCTGCAAAGAGAGTGCAAATCATGGGGGCAAGAGCCCCAGTCAGCGGTGTCCTGATGGTCTTTCCAGCATGAGAATGGGACGGCAAGGGTTCAGGCGGACAAGAGGGGAGAGGAGCAGGGCGGCCTTTGGAAAAGATACCAGCTAAGAAGAGACGAGGGCTGTTGCTTTGGTGAGGAGAGAGAGCAGAGGGGACGTGAGGAACATCCCGAAGCCACCTCATCCTCCATCCTGGCAGCCCCAAGGCCAGCAGCACCTCCTGCCTGTGGCACGAGCAGCTTGCCCATCGCTTGGCTCACGCAGACAGCGTGGGGCAACCCTGGCCTCATCCCCCACAGAGCAGCCCCACAGAGCACCGAACTTCAGCACCAGGAGGGTCACAACCCCCTGCGCTGTCCCGCTTGTCAGGTGCCTGCAGGGACCTGCATCCCCGGTGTGGCAGGTGCTGGCCCCTCAGCGGGCACCTCCAGGCACGCGCAGCTGCCGGCGGCTCTGCTCGGCCTCCTCTTGAGGGAAACATGACGGGAGGGCGAGGGGTGTTTAGGAAAACAGACCTTGGCACTTGATGGCCATCCTGGGAAAATAAAAACATCCGGGCGGGCAGCAGTACTGTGAGTGCGAGAGAGCGGCACTCCATAAATCCCCTGGAGCAGGTGCTTTGTAGTCGGCACAAGGAAATGAGCACATTATTCATCCCGGCTTAAACCCCTGAATGTTTCCTGTCCTGTGAGTCAGAAATAACCTTGGGAGATCATTCCTGGGCCACGCAGGAGCCACGCTGTCCAAGAAAGGACCGCACGCCCCTCTGGCCTGGGGCCCACAGGAGAGCGGCCCCAGTGAGCAGCCAGGAGCTGAGCTGGGACACAAGGGGACCTTCTCCTGCCAGGGCCTGGCGTCTTGCTCTCCATGGCCATCCCCAGCATTTGGGAGGAACCTCGGGAGCTATGTCCATGCAGAAAGATGTATCAAGTAGGAATACAGCAGCCTGGTCCAGGACGGCGACAGGCCCTGGCCTGAGCCCTCTGCTCCGACCAGGATCTCACATGCTCCGTTGGTGGGTGACGCCGACCCTGCATGGGCTTCGTGGCCCTGCAATCCCAACACGCTCGAAGCTGCCAGTTGTTAA